ATAGCTCGATTCATGGACGAATTCGAATGTATAACTTGAGATAAGGTTAGAAAAGAAGTTGAATAAATTTCAGAAAATTACTGGAGGATGTTCCGTGTTGGACTTAGTCGGTGTCTACAATTATGAATAAATTGTGATAACCAATCGGTTACGTTAAGGGCACAAACGACATGTATAATGGCAAGTATCGATACACTCGTACACATAAGACCATTAGGCAATTGATCTCAAAAGAAATAATATTGATTATGAAAATCAATGGTTAATAGCGGATCCGCGACTAAAAGTCAACTAAAGAGATCAAACATATTGCCTATCTAGGGGAATGGGATTAAAACCCATAAATTAAGGACAATCTTGGTGGTAACCCAACCATGCTGACTGGAGATCCCAAGAACTGGTTCAAAAGGGACAACTAAGCTAAGAAAGTTCAGTTGAGCACTAAGGAACTCATTCCTAACTCATTCCCGCAAAAGATAATAGTGCTACCTGCAGAGAGGGTAAAGGATAAGCGAAAGCTTTTAATGATTCCAAAACCTTGTAACAAAAGGTGAGGTATTGGCAGGATACCTTTAATAGGAGATCACCTATGTAAGTGTATGAAGTGAGGGCCGCTTCAAAAGAATTGACAAACATTTATGAATCCAAGATGTGTGTCCATGGCCAAAACGGACACAATCATGAGAACTAAGGAAATGTGAGAATAGTATTGTGTGGGTTGCATTGTCTTGGTTTACACGAACGGCTGACAGTTCAAGACATCGCGTTCACTACTCAGCCTAGTAAATCCGATGTAACTCCACTACGGAAGGTTCAAAGCTATATGCTACCTATCCCGATGCAATACTATTCGTGGGAACTCTAGAGAGAATCGACGCCCTCGTTTTCATTCATGTGGGGGATTGTTGGGAAAATTGGTTAAAAATTGAGTCATGAACAATTTTTTATCAATGTTATTGTACGGTCTAATTGAGTATATAAATGAATTTTGGATTAGAACCAATTTTGTGGTGAATGAAAAAATTACTAGTCCAAAACATAAGGAAAGTGGGATTTTGAGTTATCCCACATTGGAAAAGTAGAGAAGTACTGAGCTGTATATATATAAAAAACATTGGGTCATGGGCTTTTAACCCATTGGGCCCTTATTACTCGAAGCCCATCTCGATTGGTCTGACTGGTCTGAATTGGTGCGGCCGAACCAATGCAAACCATTCGGCTCAACTCGAAATGGTGCAACCACTCCCAATTGGCTCAACTCGAAATGGTGCAACCATTCAAACAAAAGGTACCTTTGAAATGGTGCAACCATTCAAACAAATGTACCTTTTTGCTCCAAAGGACACTACTTTTCGAACCTTATAAATAGACCCTAACTTTCCCACAATTCCTCACTTCAATCCAAAAAATAAGTCTACTCATATTAAGCCTACCCTACAACAGATTCTCTCGAAAAGTTCTACACAAAGTACAGTTCGTCGTACTTGGGATTTGGAGTGCTCCTATACCAAGCTTTGCCGTTGTATCTTGGGAGACGATTTCCATTTAATCCGTTAGCACCGTTGCGGCGAAATTTCGTCTTAAGGACAGAGTCAACTCGCCTCGGCAAATTTACGTTCATTGCAGATAATCTTTTCGTATTTTCACTAATTAATTTGTTCAACCAATTTACTAAATTCACTACCCGTTTTATGTATCGGGAACAACAATATATATATATGGGCCCACACCAATTGTTATATAAGCATCTACAGCGTTATACGAAAAAAAAAAAAGTCTGATGGAACGGATTAGAATCGGTCCTTTTCGTTTATTTTTTTTCGAAAGTCGAAACTCGTCATAAAAAATTCTATCCCGATTTAATTTCTCTTTTTCGAAATCTAGTAGAAATCCATTCCCATTAATTAAAAAATCTCGGAAATATTACCATTTAGTAATGATTTTATTTAAAAAAAAAAATTATATGGAATTAAGTACTGGTGAGTGGTAAAAAAAAACTGTGGGATTTGGACTGTGGTAAAAAAAAGAAAGAAAGAACAATGGGTGTGTGTACTGTGTGTGAAAGATGCTGGATTTCACTTCATTTTACTTTTTTCCAGACAATCTTTTGCAGGCTTTCTATATACCCCACACACACACACACACACACACACACACACACATATATGTATCTATAGGTGGTCTGAACTTTGTAATAAACAGTAGCACTAATTCTCACTCTTTATCTCTCTGTACTTTTCTTTTTCTCATTGGTTGTGACTGTCTGAGTCAGTCCCCCCACCCTAAAAGAATCACTTCTAACTATGATTTTCTGCTTCCTCTTTTGGCCATTTTCGAACCCTCCACTTAAATTTACCTTTTTGTCCTCCGATTAAATATTTCATTTTCCTTATAAAGAAAAAAACTATTGTCTTAGGGGGGTTTTTAATGGGCCTGGGGTTTGGCCCCTTTATTTATGTTTGATTAGTTCAAATGGGACCTAAGTAAAGTAAAATTAATTGAAACGTGGGCTTATGCCCATTTATTGAATTTAATAATTTATAAGTTTTATTACTTTCGGGGCAGGCCCATCATAAGGTTTTCAATTTTAAAAAGGGTTAAATGCACTTTGCAGAATTATAGTCTATGTCACAGTTACCCCCTTAAAGTATCATTTTTAACCTCGACATCAATTATTTTGTATTTTAAAATTTAAAACATAATAAACATAGCAATTTAATAATTATTGGATAGATATAAAATTTAAAAGTAACTGAAATTAAATTATTGAAAATTAATTAAAATTACTATTAGTTATGTATTGAGTTCTTAAAATTTATTAATATGAATATATTCGATTAATTGGTCCAACAATATGTTATTTATTAATATATCCAACGCAAGATCATATTTTTAAAATTTTAAATATTACATTTTTCAACAGATAGTTTTAGTTGTGTTGTTTAATTATTCTTTCACTTAGAGCCCGTTTGGCTAAGCTTATTTAAAACATCTTATAAGCTCCTACATCTGATAAGATGTTTTAGGAGCTGATAAGCTGTTAGATCTTATTTTAAAAATTATTTTTTAAGGTGTTTGGATATGTAGCTTATAAGTTACTTTTTGTTTTTATAAGTTGTTTAGGTGTTTGGAAATAAAATGTCTGTTTATTGCTATAATGACAAAAAAGTACATGAAGCCACTATAATTGTTAAACTTATTTGACTCAAATACTTTTGTTCCTAAAATATTATTATAATATTTACAAATTATTTTTTCAAATAATAATAATAATATAAAATTATATAATAATATAAAATAAAAGTTGTGAAAGAAATATAATTTTTTTTTTGTAGATGAAAGAAATATAATTTATTATGGAGATAATAAGAATATTCGTGTATTTTTATATACATATAAAATATAAATAGAGAATAATTTTTTTTACAATTATTATGATAATTACGATAAGTATATTTAACTAATTATTAATCTTGATTACAAGAATACGTTGTTTTGATAAAATATAAATATTATTAGTATTCATGTATTATAATAGAGTAGTTGAGGGTAATTTTGTATTTTTAGTGTTTTAGTAAAAAAACAAATAAGATCTTAAAGAAAAAATGTGGGGTAGAGGTACTTTTTAAAAAACATCTTATAAGCCCCCTAACAGCTTATTTTTGGAAAAATTAAGATCTTTTGCAATTTTTTTACCAAACACATTTTAACAACTTATAAGCTCCTAAACATCTTATAAGATGTTTTTAGGAGCTTATAAGCTTAGCCAAACAGGCTCTTAGTCCTTTTAATAAAAGAGAACATTTTAAGGTTTAAGAATTTAAAATACAAATTAAATTATACTTGAGAAGCTAAATGTTATAAATAATACTTTAAGGTGGTAAGTGTTACATGGGATATACTTGAGGGATATAAACTATATTTAACGCTTTAAAATGAAATATAGGAATTTTAAATTTCCTATCTAAACAAAAACAGAGTGGGGCAAATTAAAAATCGCACCATTCCATTTCCGAGTCACCAGCGCAATGCCCATCAAATGGTAAATAGAAAAATAAATAAATTAGGAAATTGAATTCACGATTCGAAACCCTAATCCCCTTTCCTGAAGCTTGAATTTCTTCCACAATTTCCATCACGATTTCACCTCCGCCAAATCAACTGTTCTACATGAATTACATTTATTGTTGATGTTGTTGTATGTAGGATATTGCACTGGCAGCCAAACCCGGGCACCACTGTGAACAGCCAAATCCTCTCGGAAGTTTCTCAGTGCGCTGAGAGCATCAATGGTGTCAAGGACGGACGCTGGAAGTCAACTCTCAGCTTCTACAAAGCCATGGGTAGAGGTATCTTCAACTCCGATTCTATATTTACTGTGTGTGTGTTTGGGTAGAGGTATCTTCAACACCGATTCTATAGTTTGTGTGTGTGTGTGTGTGTGTGTGTGTGTGTTTATGTGTGTGTGTGTGTGTGTTTATGTGTGTGTGTGTGTTTATGTGTGTGTGTGTGTGTGTGTGGGTGTTTGAGTATTTTGAGTATGTGAATCTGTGTGTTATATTTCTTCTATTGTAATGTAATTGTTATTTTTCGTCTATTGTAATGTAGTACTGAGAGAATGTGGAATTGTTATCTGAACGATTTTTTGATTTTATTTGATTTTATTTATTTCATTGTACAGAAAAATTGAAAACCTTTTAATCTTTTTGTTTCCTGGTGATTTTAAGAACAAACGATCGGGAATGAATTTCCTCGTGATTTTGTGGGGATTTCCCTAGCGGAGCAGCCCAGTAAATATTTCTTAGTAATTAGAGGGCAGCGCCTTGTGGTCGAAGCTGAGACAAGTATCCAGGCCATTATGGAGAAACTCCAATCTTATAAAACTAGGGTTGCCCTTAATTTTGAGGTTAGTTGTTTCGAAAATGTGCTGAGTTTTTTCGTTTCTTGATAAAATTTATTTGATCGCTTGCCGAGTCAATTTGTTTATGTCAAAAGAGTGAAAAGGGAAATAATTACTGCTTAATGTCATTTGTTCATGGTAAAGTTTAATTTGATGTAGGGGAATCAGTATCAACTCGGTGATTTTCAGTTGCGAGTAGGGAAGGTGGTTCCGATGCACTCTGAAAGTTTGAGGGGTATCGTTATGGAGGTACTAAGCTTCCTTAATTCTTTTAAGTTCATAACTTTCGTATTAATATCTAACTACTATTTATAAGTATGGTCTACGTTTTGAGATTATAGATCCCTGATGTAAGATTTTCATAATTGTTTTCTCTGTTTTGAGATTATAGATCCCTGATGTAAAATTTTCATAATTGTTTTCTCTTTGTCGGACTTCTGGTATAGCATCTGTAATATTTGCCCACATCGGAATTGTTTCTAATGTGGCCTCTAAGGAAGTAGCTCGAGTATATATGTATCAAATATATATAGGTGTGTGTGTGTGTTTTATCTAATTTAAAAGAATGGGAAACATCATTATATAGCTTCAATGTGGCCTCTGGAAGAACAGTTGGAACGGTACTTCGAGATTTTTTATTCCTTTCGAACAACAGTATCTTTGAGACAATATGGTATCATTGATTAAAATTGAGTATCTTCAGGCACAGAAAATGATCCTTAATATATATATATATATAGGAAGACTTTCCGGTTTTTTAATGGCTCGAACATTCTTTGATAATCAGTCTTCAATGGTCAACCACAATTTGACGACATCGTTTTCTTGCAGATGGAGTATCTACCGATTTCATCATGGGAAAAATCACATCAAATGATGGGCGATTTCTTTGATCTGTGGCAAGAAGCTCTGTCGAAAAGATCTTTATCAGGTCACTTTGTACACAACGAACCAAACTTCAGAGAGTATGGCCTCACGGACCAATATTCATTTCAACACACAGCAGTTCAGTATGCTAGTATCACTGCTCAAATGATTGCAACTTCTCAGGGAGCTAATCAGCAGAGATAATCAATCCAATCCTCCGTTGTTAATTAATCAGAGTTCGGTATGATTGATCCAGACTATTATTTGGTTATAATCCTCCCTCTATGCTTCTTTTCATCCTGATGTCCCGTGTGTTGAATGGAAAATCGAGTTCTATTTGGGGTCAGTAACTAATATTTGTCGAACAAAAATATTGCTGCCTCGTATTTTGATAATGTGACTTCTAATATTTCTTCATTATTGTGATTTGTTTTATAGTCTTAAATCACATCAAATTTCTATGATTCTTCGGATATCCAATCACATGACTAGTGTATAATTTATAAAGAATTTATTTTGCAATAAATTTTGAATTATTGATAATGTAAATGCTATAATCTACACGTGAATGTAGGCTAATTTTCGATCTTCTTTCAGTTATTGTGTTTAACTAAACGTGAATTAACATACAATAATTACCATTGTTTTGAAAACTGGACCAGGCAAGCTACTTGGTTCACGGTTGGACCGGTTCAATCGGGGTCAAACCGATTTATTTTTTATTTTTTATTTTTTATTTTATAATTATTTAAACTAAATATAACATATTTTCTTTCATACATTAACTCATTTCCAATTAAAATGTAAATCAAACTTATTTTTCTTTTACACACAACATATAGAAACTATAATAACAAATAACATGTTTTTACAATTTCAAATGAAAAAAAAATTGATTATTATTTTTAACTGGTCACTAAAAAAATGCAGTTTTGGTCATTTTATTTGTTTATTTAAAAAAAATATAAAACATTTTTTCGGGAAAAAAACTCGATTTCCAATATTACATTTCAACCGATCAAACCGGACCGAGACAAGGCAATGGTTCGCGTTTCAACCGATTCAATCGGCGGGTTAGGTCCGGGTTTCAAAAAACATGAATCAGCAACTCCAAGAAATAGAGGAAGAAAGCGCACGCACGTGTGAGATAAAAATAATAAAACTGTGTTAGCGTAATGCGCAAGAAGGAAAAACATCGATACTTTGGATTCTCAACCGTCCGAGCCCATCATCACTCTTAAAACCTCTAAAACCCTAAGTGCCAGCCGCCATGTCCGCCCCCCACTCACACCTTCTCTCACATATATACATACACACATACGTATGTATATATATATATATATATATATATATATATATATATATATATATATATATATGCGATTTTCCATTTCCGAACCAGATGTGCGTCATATCAACAGCAGGTATATTTCCCGTGACTGGAGCAAAAGACCACAAATTCTATATCCGATTCTTCTCTATAGATATAGCTCAATGTTGACTTGGATTTTCTTCGACATATTTTTGGGGGGTTTTGATTTCCATCAATTGCGAATGAACCGATCGTCTCATCTTCTCTGGTTAAACGTTTTCTGAAATTCGTGTATTGATGCATACGAATTGATCTGTATATAATTGTGTAAATTCTTACTGTACCATCTTAGTAGATCCAGAATAGTAAACCCAAGATTGTGAAAAGAGTGTAATGGATCCAGATTGGGGAAGTTCGACTAAAGCTGTACCCAGGAAGGTATTAGTTTTTCAGAGTCATTGATCTTATGTTAATCTGATGCCTATGTTTATTTTTTTTTTCTCTCTCTAAACATGGATTTGTTTGGCATATATCTTATTAGGTGAAATTTGCACCAAAAGTCCCTTCCCAGAGGAGAAAGAAACCTGTCCTGCCTAAAGTGTAATCATACTCTACTTTTTTTATCTTGATTATTTGTATTGATTACTTTTTTTGTTTTGGTATTAGTTATTTTTTTGGTTTTGGTTGAATGTATGTTACAGTGAAAAGGTTGAAGAGGTTGAAGATGATATCAAGGCCGAGGAACTTATGCGTCGCTACAATGTAATTCCCGAATTCTTTGTCTTACTATCTTGCATAGTAGATAGTGAATTCATTTTCTTTCTTAGTTGACTTAATTGCTTCGTGTTCTAGGAATCATCAATGAATAGAAAGACGAAAGCCGAAAGAAAAGGTAAATTATCTCTTTGGGTTAGTCTATTTATAAATGTAAAATCATCCACATGCTGTTACTAATTCATACATTTGATATGTTCGAAAAGAAGGTGTTCATGTAAGAACTTCGTATCCTTCTTAAGGCATCAGTTTTCTTCGTTGCGTTTAGATCTCTAGTCAATTTGCACTGTATTGAAATACCCCTTTTGTTATCGTAGCAGAAACGTACGATCTTGCACACAAAACTGTTATGACTTGTGACGAAACTTTTCGTATGTTTAATTACATTCTCATTCAACACTCTGATATATATTTACCATCATCTTTGCAATTTCAGTTGCTCCTGTTCAAGTTGCATTCGGTTTCGGAGGATCATCTAATGCCCTCAGGTCGTATGGTGCACACAAGGGTATCAAGAAGAATCTGGGCTCTTCTAATGGCAAGTGCATTTTTGTTAAATTGTATTTTTACTGCACCGTTAAAAACCTCGTCTGTATTAAACTATAGTTTTCGTACTTGCAGATGGTACTGCTATAAACGTGGAGAAAGAATATAAAGAACCATGGGTAAACTATATACAAATAAACCCTCTATTACGATATATAATAACTAAAGTTCTCTACTCTGTTTTTAACGTTGTTCGACCATTGCTGCAGGATTATTACACCTACTACCCTGTAACAGTTCCCCTGAGACGGCCCTATTCAGGAAATCCAGGTATTTTTCAATCTAATCTAGAAAACAATTATTCTATTTACCACCTCGTGAAAGTGGATTTGTTTTCAATTATTACTTGTAGAACTTCTTGATGAAGGAGAATTTGAAAAAGAACCGGATTATGATGAAAACGCGACAAACGATGCAGCAGAGCTTGGTCTAGTGGTTGGTTCTTATTCAAAACTAAATACAATACACACTGACACACACACACACACACACACACACACACACACACACACACACACACACACACACACACACACACACACACACACACAACGCATGCAAGAATTGAGTTGAGATGCTAATGATGATATTGTTTGGTGCAGGAAGAGAATGCGGAGAATAATATGTTCCTACTTAAGTTTCCAGAAAACCTGCCCATGGTAAAGCAACCGGATAGAGCAGAGGCACGAGAACCAGGGAATATTCCAAAAAACACACAAAAGGGTGCTGGAAAACCACAAAAGACATGTAATTTGGAGGAGTTGCCAGCTGGCTTCATGGGCAAAATGTTGGTGTACAAAAGTGGTGCTGTGAAGTTGAAGCTTGGTGATACATTATACGATGTAAGCATTGCAAAACTCAAGTCCTTTAGTATGTGTGTCTGTTTGTCATATCGTGTATATATATATCTTGCAAGAATAGCTAATTATGGTGAGTGTGTGTGTGTGTATATGTATATATATAATAGGTGTCTGCAGGTTTGGATTGTGTGTTCGCTCAAGAAGTGGTTGCGGTTAATGCAGAAGAGAAAAAGTGTTGCAGTGTGGGAGAACTCCACAAACGCGCTTCTGTAACTCCGGATATAGACAGCGTGTTGAAGGCTATGTCTGATTTATAGATTCTTTTGTTCGTTGGGTTTGCAGAATTTTGCTTGTATACGCATGTTTTGAAATCGTTGATCATATTGATTTACATATATATATATATATATATATATATATATATATATATATATATATATTACGGGACTCGGGCATAAAATTTTATATTAGACGAGGCCCTAAGCCTTATGTCGAATAAACAGTATATAAATCTGAAGGATGATTTACATTTGTTTACTTGTGTTCCATTCACATTTGTGTTGTAGACAAGTTATAACTAGTATTTCACCCGTCTATAGAAAATCGTAATAAATAGTAATTGTTAGTGTAAAATGGGTTTTGCCATTTACGGTGTCTTTTTTACATTGGAAAAGACATTACTTCGAGTTTATATTAAATTTAGTAATCAAGAGTTGAAATAAATCAAATTTACTAATTATTAGAAACACCGAATTAGGAAATTTAAAAAAATTATAGACACGTAGGCTACATGTAGGAGCATGGATGTGGTGCCTAATGTCGAATTTCTAAACTACGAGGGGTTTAAATGAAATGAGAAGAAGTTTAAAGGTTTAATGGATAAATAATAAAATATATTAATAAAAGGCCTTTCAGACCCAAATTCAAAGCCCATTATAAAGGCCCAGTTCAAATTACATTCTTCCTCCAGTTTCATTTTTTTCTTCTCTCATTCGTAAGCAACAATTTTACTGCTCAAGGTGGGTCTAACGCTCTACTCTTTGATTTCCTTCAGATCTGAAATTTCAATCAGAGTTCATCGAATTGTGAGCCTAAATCTCTCTGTAAATCTGATAGTTGAACTGTTTAGAGTTTAATTTTTATTAGGCATAATCGATTCTGTTCTTAATCTTTTTTTTTTTTTTTTTTGAATCATATTCAGCTGCAGCGTGATATCTGTATTTCTGTTGACGGTGTCCAGCTAATTTCGTCTGCTTCAGCTATGAATTCTATAAGGTTTGTGCTTCCACACGTTTTGCTTGGAATTTCTCTTGTCTTAATTGCATGTCTTGTATGTGTTGTAGTACTGAATCTAATTATTTGCCATTGTGTGAATATTTTGATTTTAAGAGAATGGTGAATTAAGTTTGTGTTTGATATAATTGATAGAAAGAAAGGTTTGGGGAATTTTTAGGGGTTCTTGTGGCAAAGTTGTAAATAGGTTTTGAATTGAGATAGAAAAACTGGTGGTGTTTTTGGTCAATATTACGGAGAAATCGGCGATAGTTAATTCAATGGTTAATTAGTGTTAACCGGAATTCTTATATTACAAGTGTTGGAAATTCTCTCAAACTCAATGAACCTAGAAATTTTCATCTAAATTGCGTCATGGAGGAATTCATTATATTTTCTATTTTCTGTCGGACGAACATTTAGCAGTGTCAACAATTTTCTTGCAGTTCGAAAAAGTTGTCTCTGGACAAATAGTTGTGACACTCGTGTCGATTTCTGCTTAGAGAACGTTCTTTATCTTTCAGAAGACTGTATTGACTTAGTGCTCAAATGATTTTTTAATTAGCATTGGTGTATAGGTCGTTCGACATTCAAAATTCAAAATTAGCTTGTGAATCCACAATTTCTTTGTGGGGGCTGTGATTTGATATTGTTATCTTAATGTTCATGGTTACTTTATTTCTTGGGAATGTTCTTCAATTAGCTTATAACTAATCAATGTAAGTTTATAATGAAATCTGTGTTTAGGGATCGTAATGCGAGAGTTGCCCTTTTTGATGGTATTGAGGAAGGAGGTATAAGGGCATCATCATCTTACTCATCACACGAGATTGACGAGCAAGAGAATGATAGAGCAATTGATGGACTGCAAGATCGAGTTATTATGCTAAAAAGAGTAAGTTTACGCTATCTGAAACCGTATTAATTTATTGTTACTTTTAATGAACCTTTTCCTTCATTAATTTTAAGTCATTAGTTGGAAAATTAGTTTTTCGTATGAGTTCAGATCTTGCTGACTTGATAACGATGAATATGTTCCTGTGACTACTAACATGGCTTGTTTTCGTATGAGTTCAGATCTTATGAATTCTTATTTAATTTTAATTTTAATTTTAATTTGTGTTCTTTTTCTCTTTATTTTAGTTTTAGTTGAGTTACTAACTTAAAAGTACTTGAATACGGGACAAGTTGACGAATTGGAAGTACTACCTTTTTTAAGTTTATAAATTGCATCATTTGGTTTATACTGAGATTTTGCTACTCTGGGTTAGTATTCACGCAATAACGTTTTTTTTTTCAATTACGTGAACAGCTGTCAGGTGATATACACGAGGAAGTTGAGTCTCATAACAATATGCTCGACAGAATGGTTTGTACATAGTTTTAATATATACTAGCACGATGAATACTTACAAATAGTAGCATAACTTTGATGCTGATTGTAAATTATTCATTCAGGGAAATGACATGGATGCCTCGAGGGGAGTTCTATCTGGAACTATGGATAAATTTAAGACGGTATTAATTATCTCGAAGCTACTTTATACGAATAATTACATTTGTCCTTTTGTAAAATTCTTTATATCTGGCTCAGGTGTTCGAGACGAAATCAAGCAGGAGGATGGTTACACTGGTGGCATCTTTTGTGGTTGTTTTCCTTGTTGTCTACTATCTTACTAGATAAACGGTCGATGTAAATTGGAGTAAAATCTTTGAAATCGTGTAGAAACGGATTGTGCTGTCTGTCCGTCTGCCTTGTGAAGTCGTGTCCTATATTGTGTTGGTGTACGAAGTCTGTTGTCCTAATGTTACCCCTCTGTATAAAAATGTGTCGTGCAACAGGTGCTTGAATAACGTGATTTCCGTTTCGTATTTCAATTGCGATGGACTTTCGAAAGCATTGTGTTAAAAGAAAAAACGAAAAGAAGAGAGTGATATAATCGGATCTAACTAATTGGAGACCTTTCTTGAAGAGCACAATGATTAACGGCGTGTAATAAATAACATATACTTGAAAGAAATTACATATTTAAACAAAATGAGCAGAAATGACAAGAGCATCTCCATAACTGTAAGTCTATAATATTTAGTGGGTCCAGAAAACAAAAAACGAAAACATGTGAGCAATAAAATAAGGCACATAGAAGCCGCAAATAAGCATTTGTCTCAAGTCCTAAGAGGAGGAAACCAAACTAGCAGCAGAGATGTATTCACTTCTTGTTGGTCGAAATTCCGAGCCTCTGTCGAAAATCCTCCTCCATGAGAGGAATGCCTTCGCGCAGTTTGATTTTCGGTTCCCAGCCAAGCGTTTCTTTCGCCTTTGTAATATCTGGCTTTCTTTGTCTTGGATCGTCTGGCGTGTTCTCCACTGTTACGATTTTCACTTCTGGATTTATCATCTGCATATCCCCCAAAAATCATTATTTTATTATTATTATTAGTTTTCATGTTTAGCTTTAAACAACACGTCAGTTAACCAAGTATACATACCTCTTTCACAGTCTCGGCAAGCTCAAGCATTGTAAATTCACCTGATACAAAAAGATAAATCCCTCAGTTAGTAATAATCATAAATTCAAACGAGAAAAGTATCAAGTGACGGTGTATATAAACCTGGATTGCCGATGTTAATTGGCCCTGTATTGTCTCCTTCCATTAGTCGAATAAGACCATCAACCTTCACCAAAAAGAAATAAAAAAAGAGTAAGGATCTCAAGCACTCGAAAGAAATTTAACCGAAAATACCGAAGATAAGATGATTTTTCTTTCTTACCATGTCAGAGACGTAGCAAAAGCTTCTCGTCTGTGTTCCAGGCAATTGGACGGTCAAAGGTTCGTCACTACAATGGTATAAATTTTGAATTATTAGTCGAGTAGTAGCAGAGATGACAATAGTGGTCTTTTGTATCTCATTGTGAAAATTCTGACACGGTACACTATACACCGTGTGAGATAAGAAAGAAAAACAGGATGATATGGTATAGGGCCTGAGTATGTTACCGTATTGCTTGAGCTATGAAATTACTGACAACCCGACCATCGTCGATATTCATCCGTGGTCCGTAAGTGTTGAAGATTCTTGCAATCCTTATCTCTGTTTTTACAAATTTACCGTTTTAATTTGGTAAGGAAATGCATCATACTACATGTAATTATATATTTAGTGTAAGAACAACAATTACCAAGTCCATGCTGCCTGTGGTAGTCAAACATCAAAGTTTCAGCTACTCTTTTTCCCTCGTCGTAACAACTCCTAACCCCTGCAGTGCCATATTAAATGACGATAAATGAGGCCAACAATGTACTTTCTTCAAAAGAATGAAAATATTGATAATATTGATATTTATCAAGCTTAATAAAGGTAAATTTCCTTCTACCACGATTAAAAATAAAAATAAAAAAATCAGCTTTTATGTTCTCAATAAAATCGTAATACCTATGGGGTTGACATTGCCCCAGTAATCTTCAGTCTGAGGATGCACGAGGGGATCCCCATATACCTCGGATGTTGATGTCAGCAAAATCCTATTGAAACGGGAGACATAGTGAATTAACAGTGCCATTAAGTATAGTGGAAATAAAAAAACATTATGGATGCAATGGCTAACCTTGCCCCGACTCGCTTCGCAAGTCCCAACATGTTTAGCGTCCCGATTACATTTGTCTTAATTGTCTGTTGAGCATTGTTACAAAGGGGAAATAAATTAATTCAACATGGACTAAAGTGGTTTTCCTTTACATAATGATTTTGCGGACAATGTAATCCTATAATGGAAAATTTTATTTTAGACCATTCAAACTAAAAGAAAGAGTGTTTTTTATCTTGGTCACTGACCTTCACAGGGTTGTATTTGTAGAAAATTGGGGAAGCAGGACATGCGAGATGGTAGATTCGATCAACTTCCACCAACAATGTCTCTGTCACGTCTGAAAATAGAAAAAGATATATATTAAAAATTATACAAGCAACGAAATGTCAACGCCACATACCAAAATTTGCAGGAAAGTCAAAATGTTTGTGTAGGGACCTATAGGGAAATTCCTCAAATGTTATCAAGTTAGATTAAGCAAAGAACAAAAGCAGATACTTTGAGTACCATGGCCTCCTCAAGAGAATGGAAAATTTATATCAAACTAATTTAGAACTTAATGGCCTGAAATCTGCTAACAAATGAACAAGAAACATTGTATACCGTGCCGAATAAGCTCAAATCGAGGATGACCAATCCATTGCTTTAGGTTGTCTTTTGATCCAGTAAAGTAGTTGTCCACGACAATTACCTAAACAAAGCGAGTTAAACTCGTGTGATATCTGCATATTTCAGTCCACTAAATTCATCAAAGTTTCGACACTCTAAATGTGCTTACCTCATTCTTCTCATTTTCCATCAGCTTGTCAACTAGGTGAGATCCAATGAATCCAGCTCCACCAGTGACCAAGATCCTCATGTTTGCCTGTCATCAATACGTAATTAGTGTGCATGACTCGTACATCCCAAAATCATTTATCTTACTCAGCCTCGTCCCAAATAAGTTGGTTCTAGGTCTAAATCCCTCATAGCCGAACTCACTACCATCGTCGCTAAATAAATTAATATCCAGTTGATAAAATATTCCATATGAGATAGGCATCAACGGAACACTCTTGTTCAAGATATTAATTTCTTTAGAAATTTGATTAGGGTGCAAATATCTTTTTTTTCATTGGTTTTGTCAATTCTTGCTTGACACATTTTAAACAATTCCGAACGAGATGAAATGAGTGGTTTCTTGGAAATGGAAACACAATTTTATCGGGGTCGTACCTGAAAAAATCTAGCTTTCCTCAATGGCGAAGGCTCAGGAGGAGACTTCACAGTTGCATGATTTGCCATTTGTAAGAGATCTGTTTCAATTCCGAAAGTCCGTGTCAATTAGATCGAATTAGCCATCATAGTAAAACGTAAACTGAACCAACATGAAAAGAGCAGTCATAGACTCATAGATCATTATAGGGTGATCCATGATGATTAATCCAATATTATTTGATATAATGAAACCCATTCGAAAGAAACCAAAGGAAGTCGATTTATTTTCTTTCTCAAATCTCAAAGCAAATTCAAATTAAATCACCGACTAAAATCTTCTGAATTACACCACACTACAAACACGTATCGAAACTGCAGACCTTATTCTCTGTTTCAAAATGACCAAAGACAAAATCTTTGTTAAAAACAAAATGTAACAAAAATTGATGCTCAGCTAAAACTTTTCTATAAAGAAGTAGATCCTAGCCCTGTTAACAAATTGCAACCATCAAACTACGAAATCAATCATTCCAATAAACGAAATCTTCGAATATCCCATCACAAAATCTACTACAGTTGTAGTGAAGAAAAACAAAATGATGAATTGAGCTCAAAAGCAACTGAATTGGCACAGACCCACAGATTCTCCGAACAAGAACATATTCAGAACCTAAAAACTAAAATAAAAAAAAAAAAATTAAAAATAATGAGCAAAATTGAGCTGTGATTAATTATCAATGTTCTCAGTGGATATTATAGAGGATCGCCGCCCCTAGGGCACGGATATATCTCAATTCACAGATTTAAGATTAAACAACAAATTCAGATTCACATAAAATGAATAGAAGTGTCCAAATTAATATTGCATCAAACTCACCAGCGGCAGAGAAATTTGAGATCACGGAAGAATTCAGATCAGATTTGAGAGAGCGAGAGAATAAAAAAAAAAAAAAACAATTAAACCGGTGAGTTTATAAATGGAGAAATCGGATCAGATTTAAGCTGCTGCACCAAACTCAAAGGAGCACGGGCCGCGGTGGGGGTGGGGCTGCGGGGGTGCGTGGGTAGGTGGTGAGTGGTAGGTGGATGGGTAGATGCTAACGTGCGCCAGTAGCTGGGAGAGTAGTATGTATGTATGTATGTATGTATGTATGCATTATGAATTTATGACAATTGGACAAGTAGAGATGGATGTGAGTGTGTGTGGATTTGCTGAACTTCAAAAATGGCGGTCGCCGTTGAAAATTCGCCACCTGTCGCTTTCCACCATCATTTTTCGCTCCCACACAATTGGACCCATCTCTTACAAATATTATTATTAGGGTAAATTACAAACACCCCCCTTAGGTATGGTCAAATTACAAAACCCCCCCTATTGTTTGAATAATTACATCTACCCCCCTCAACTATGATTTTTTCTTAGACCTCCACCTTTATGGTGCCAAATTCAACATATTCATCTAGATTCCGTGAAATGTGCTCTAGTTTGTACTCTTTTTGTGCAAAAAATACAGTTTCCGATGCACCACAAACTGATATATGCAAGCTAAAAATCACATATTATGGTCATCTTGCTTCATAATGTAGAGTTTGAATGGGATAAAATGGGTACAAAAGTGATAATATTCCATATAATTTCAAAGATTCCACTAAATTTGATGAGTTGAGGGGTGGTTGTAATTATCCAAACAAGATGGGTGTTTTTGTAATTTGGCCATACCTCAGGAGGGTGTTTGTAATTTACCCATTATTATTATTATTATTATTATTATTATTATTATTATTATTATTATTATTATTATTATTATTATTATTATTATTATTATTATTATTATTATTATTATTATTATTCTTCTTCATTTAATAATAATAAGTATTATTCACTGTCAATTATATATTTCTCTATCTCAATTTTAAAAATAGAATATCCGAAATGTGCGAGTTAAATAATAGTTCATTTGTAATATCGTACTTATGGGCCTAGTATATAGTGGAATATATTTCAATTAAATTTATTGGGTGTAGCATATACGATTTG